GTCAATTAAAGAGAGGCAGGAAAAAAAGAGTGGCCAAGAGCTCCACAGTTTCATGTACACTATTCACATTCATAAGGGTGCTAACTCTGAGTCGAGGCTGCCTGGATTCAAATCTCAGCAGCTGTGTACTTGGGGAATATCACTTAACCTCTCCAAACCTCAGCTTCCTCTTTAATTAAATAATGATCATTAGGTTGGGTGCAGTGGCACACACCTATAATCCCAGCTTCTAAGGAAGCTGAGGCAGGAGGATCACAAGTTGGAGGCCAGCCTCAGCAAGAGTGAGGCCCTATCTCAAAACAAAATATAATGGATTGGAGGTATGGCTCTGTGGTAGAATGCCTCTAGGTTGAATCTCCAGTACCAAAAAACAAAACAAAAACGTCAAATAACGAATATCATTATAGTATCTACTTCCTAAGATTGTTATGAAAAATGCATGGGTTCATATTTGTTAAGTACTTTGAAAAGTGCCTGGAACTTAGTGACAGATAAATGTAAACAAGACAGGAAGAATGTCTCTGGAGTTGTCTATAATGGAATAACCTCACGCATGCTCACTCTGGGGAGGAGGGAGTGGAAGGAAAAGAAAACCACTTAACTACATTCCTTAATTGAAAAGAAAAGATAGAAACCTGCAATTATGGGCAAACATTGCTACTTCTCTGACATTAGGGGCTTTCATTTTACCCAAGAAGAGTAACTAACAGAAGCTAGAGTGGTCTGTGTAGCTGACAGAAGAGTGGCAGGGCAGAGGTTAGTCACGGTGCCCAAGAGCAAAGTGGGGCCCTCAGCTCAGTGTATCTGTCTTTTGACTGTAAAAACTTTTCCCTGGCAACCTCCTGGATACCAGAGTATCAACTCACTTTCATGCCCAACAGAAGCGTTTGCTCCGACCAACAGCGACATCTACAGGCCAGAACCGTAAGGAAATTTACTAATATCCAAGTCAGCCAGGATTTCTAAAATCCAGGCCCAGTAACAAGCAAAGAGCAAATGGTGAGCAATGGTTAGGCCCATGCTTCTATTCTCAAATGCAGTTTATCTTGGAAAGTAAATAGCGTATGCATAAGGCAGGGGGGATCCCACTTACAATAACTGAAATAATAAGATATATAGGAATAATTTTTTTTCCGGTACCAGCCCTCTTTTTATATTTTATTTTTGAGACAGGGTCTTGCTAGGTTTTTCACAGCCTCGCTCAGTAGCTGAGGCTGGCTTAGAAATTTCAATCCTCCTGCTTCAGCCTCCCAAGACCCTGGAATTACAGGCATGTGCCACCACTCCCAGCCAGGAATAATCTTAAAAGTTTTTAAGACACTGCATGAAATAAAATTTTGCAAGAAATCTTAAAAATATAAACAAAGTCGGGCTGTGGCTGTGGCTCAGAGGTAGAGTGCACACCTAGCATGTGTGAAGCAGTGGGTTCAATCCTCAGCACCGCATAAAATAAAATAAGACACTGTGTCCACCTATATCTAAAAAATAAATATTTTAAAAAATATATAAACAAAGTACATATCATGTACATGGATTTTTTTTAAATCTGAGCATTTTAAGTTATCACTTGAAAAATGTTTCTAAACCTTATTTATGAAAATAACCAAAATATATAAAACTGTAAAACTAATGTCAAAAACACCCTAATGAGAGTAGAATATATTAATGGAGCCCTTACCGTGTGTCAGACACAATGCTCTAGACATGTTATTTTCATAATTTTTATTTTTTTATCCTTAGGGTTGTGTGGAACAGATATTATCTTTCCTATTCGGTGGAAATGTATAAGCTAAGCTGAACAGCATCACTGTGTCTTAACCTATGAAAACATCACTCCAATTTCCTTTAGGGAAATGATCTGACCTTGATTTCAGCATTAGGGCTATTAATCTAGGTGTTTTTTGCTCTCCTTTAGCCAAGAGGCAGGTAAATTACTTCAAAGTAAATGATTCATGCTATGGCTTGCTCCTTCCTAGGAATTGAGTAGAGAAACAGACAGACAAAGGTTGAAATTCAGTCATGCTAGCTATGGCAGGAAGGTTGATTATTACCTGCTAGCTAGCCTTAGGGTAAGGAGACAAACCCAGGAAGCATCAGTAGAGAGCCATTTCAGCTTACAAACAGAAGCCTAAGGAAAGGGAGTGGTGTTAGCAGAGGCTTTTGTAGCCACAGCAGAGGGGACAGCTGTTAAGATGTAGTTTGTTACCAAGGGCTGGCAGGGAGCAAATAGAGAGATGAACAACACCCTGACCTCCCTCCTCTGCTCTGATTTTCTACCACTGGCCAAACAGGATCAAAATCCACAGGACAAGGGCTAGGGGTGAGCTCAGTGGTAGAGTCCTTATCTAGCATGTGTGAAATTCTGTGTTCCATCCCCAGCACACACATACAGAGAGAGAGAGAGAGAGAGAGAGAGAGAGAGAGAGATCAGAGGACAAAAACAGCCCAAATGAAGCAATACTTAGAGGTCAGCCCCCAAAGACACCCTGCAGGAGAGAGAATATTGAAGGGGCAAACTTAGTCTAGCCAGCATGCTTTCCAAAACATTCTATTTGTACTAAAGACAGATTTTTTATCTTATAACAAAGGAGCCAAACTGATATGCCCCATATAATAGATAAGAAACTCAAAGAATTGCCTGGCATGTGTGAAACCTGGGTTCAATCCTCAGTTTGCATATAAATAAGTAAAAGATCCATTTACAACTAAAAATATGTATTAAAAAAAGATAAGAAACTCAAAGAGGTAAGGTTACTTCATGAAGGTCACATAGATAATATGTGTAGAATTCTAAAACAAATTTAATAAATGTAAAAGCCTGCAAGACTTAAAATACATCTAGTACATGTGTGTATATGCACAAAACACTGAACCAGAATACACAGCCTAAAAGGAATGCAGTGTGTTATATGAGTCATCACTGGGGAAGAAAAAGCTCACTTGTAAACTGGAGGTAAGAGAATTACTTAGATATTTGAGTGGGAAACAATTTAGATAAATTACAACATAAACCTAAATCCCAAATTGATTCAGAACTAAACTGTCAATACCACAAAATATTTACGGACATTTATAATAGAAAAATAAACTTTCTCAACATCTTAAATCCAGAATCCTAATCAATGTGAAGATTAAGTCTTTTCCTTTAGATGAGAGAGATTTTTTTCTTCCAATTACTCCCAAAACAATCATTGTTAGGAAACTTCTGCAGGGTGTGCTCCAGCAAAAGAAGAGTATAAAGCAATAGAGAGGAAAAGAAGATCCACAGAAATATCTGTGCTCATGTTCATTGCAACAAAAGCAACAGCTAAAAAATGGTAACAATCTAAATGTGCATCAGCTGATGAAGAAAAGGAATATAGGGACCATGGAATACTATTCAGCCATAAATAAATGACATTCTGCCAGTTGTGACATGGATAGAATGGTAGGTCATTATGTTAAGTAAAATAAGCAGGCTCAGAAAGACAAGAACCACATGATCTCATTCATATATAGAATCTAAAAAAAAATGATTTCATCAAAGTTGAGAGTAAAATGTTGGTTCAGAGATTGGGAGAATGGGCAGGGGAACAGTAGGGAGAGGGTGATCATTGGATTATAGTGAGACAGGAGCAAGAAGTTCTGGTGTGCTGTTGCACAGTAGGGTGCCATGCATGACACATATTTCAAAAAGCTATAGGAAAGGATTTGAAATGTTTTTTACATATTTGATTAGATACATTTAACCTAATGTAAATCAATGTATACACGAATCAAAGCACATAGCACCCATTAATATGTAGTTTTTGTTAGGAGTTTAAAAATACAAATTCAAAAATATGGAAGTAAAACAGAAATGATGGGTTGACTGGTCCAGAGAACATAAGCTGCTTTTTATTACAAAGATCCTAGCCCATTTGAATATCTAACTGCATACAAGTATTACTTTTGACTTTTAAAAAGACAAAGAATATAGTACACCTCCAGTGATATGAACCTCTAATACCAGCAACTCAGGAGGCTGAGACAGGATTGCTTAAGCCCAGGAATTAAAGCCAACCTGGGCAACATAGCAAGAACCCATTTCAGAGAACAAAAATAAAAAAATAAATGCAGAGGAAAACATTTGTGACCTAAGTTTCTAAACCAAAATTGGAAAACTACAAAAGTTCAAGATTTGACTATATGAAAAATTCAAGACTTCAGTACATCAAAATATATCAGGTTTCTAGAACTGAAGAATGGTAGCCCCACATACCATAATTCCTTCATGGTCTTCTTTAACCTTAAGACCAACAAATACCACAAATTAAACCAAACACGAATAGTTATGTGGAAGGGGTGGTAAGCTTGCAGAAGTTACAAACTGCAAAAATGATCACCATTGCAAACATCTCCTGGACCAGGAAAATATGAGAACAAGTGAATCAATAGGTATAAGACAATGTGTGTGTTGGGAACCACAGGAGGTGAAGAGTATGTCCCAGTCTCTTCAGAATTCCCAGGAGACAACATCGCGATGTTCTGTGGCTGCAGAGCAAGAGAGAAAAGATTAAAGGAGAGAGGAGCGTAGAACATAATGGCATTGCGATTTCCCTTGTGTGAAGTCTTCATCATGCGTGCCAGAAGCCAGGTCTTCCGTGTACTTCCTAGGGAACCACAGAGCCACTTCCTATGAGGCCACAAAGCCTGCAGTCTCTCGAGGGACTGCAGTACAGCAGGATCCTAAGATTGTAAGGGTTTACCAGATCCAAGCCTGCTAACCACAGTCCACAACTGCACAATGGGGGCTGGGAACTGCCAGCAGTAGTAGTGGCCAGACACAGGATTTAGGAGGGAGGAGCAGCAGTCACAAAATGTTCAATATAACCAGTAATTAGCAATTCAAGGCTCCTAACACCTTCAAATACCATAGCAAGCAGTGACACATGCAGATGTACATTTTAATTTCTGTGGCTAAAAATATTACTAAGCAACTTCTATTTAAGTCAGTAAAAAAAAAGAACAAAGAGGAACAATTCAAAGGCAAAAGTTTTAATGAACATTATGACAAAAAAAATGACTCCTTATTGTGCTCAGAAACATGAGTAGAAAAATTATGTAGTAGCTTCAAAGAGAGCTTTCAGGAATTCGACACCCAAGATTATAGACCCCAGTCACCTCCTCTAACCAACATCCAAGAGATGTCATTACAAAGTGGCCACCATAACAACCCCAGCAGGCACACAGGAGGATGGAGAGCTTCCCTCCTAACTGGAGGAAAATTATTAAACATAAAACATTTGAAATCAAAGTGAACACTGATACAGCTTTTATTCTGGAACACTTGTTTTAAAATATGATGCTGGGAAAACAGGATATAAAGACAGGATATAAAGGATATAAAGACAGGATATGAAGACATCAATCAAAAATAAATCTGCATAATTTCACAAAATGAAAACGGCCTATTGTGATGTGATCATTAAAAGTTTTTTATTTATTTTTTATTGTATATGGATTCAATGCCTTTATTTGTTTTTATGTGGTGCTAAGATCGAACCCAATGCCTCACACTTGAGAGGCAAGTGCTCTACCACTGAGCCACAACTCCAGCCTAAAAGTGTTTTAAAGAATGCTTAACTTTCTTCAGACATAAATGAAATAGGACTAGAATACTTAAACATATCACAAAAAATAAAAACCATAGCAAGATATTTATAGTTAATGACCAAATTGCATGATTTTCTTAAAATAGTGCTTACTCTTAGAAGCATCTCTCTCTCAGTATAGGATTCAAGTCTATTTTGAATCTGAAAATATGGAGGGAAATTTGACTTTCAGTAGGACCATTTCATGAGATATTTAAAAGCAGTCTTCAGTTCAATAATGGGGAGAAAAAAATGGGGAGAGGCAGGGGGGAAGAAGGATCTAGAAATGCAGGATTCCAGGTAGGTCTGCAACATTATGAATTCATGTTAATTATTATCAGTTAAACATTCTCTTGATTGATTTAAATAATCAAACAGTTCTGAAACTCTTATGTCTCATGCTCCAAGCTCCTAGCAATGGATCTTTCAGAACTTACCTTCTTCTCTTTTTTTTTTTTTTTAAATATTTATTTATTTATTTTAGTTTTTTTTCGGCAGACACAACATCTTTGTTTGTACGTGGTGCTGAGGATCGAACCTGGGCCGCACGCATGCCAGGCGGGCGTGCTACCGCTTGAGCCACATCCCCAGCCCACCTTCTTCTCTTAATAAGCAAGCCCATGTTGCTACTGATTGCTTTAGTTATTTTAGGAAGTGTTGATTTCCTATTACAGAAAATGAAGAACTGCTTTCCATCTACCCTCAACTGATTTCTTCCTGCCAACATCCTTTCTCCAGGTTTATCATCTGTACTTGGCTTGATCCATATTTCAATGGTGACAACAGTATAGCTAGGTAAATATTATTCTCAGCTGAGCATGGAACACATCATGAATATCTTTCCATCCCTGGTATATTTATAGTTGTTTGTTTTTTTTTTTTTTTGTGTGTGTGTGTGTGTGTATTTTTTAAGGATAAATAGATCTATACCCAGCCCTTTTTTGTTTTGTTATATATATAATTTTTTAAGTTATCAATAGACCATTATTTTACTTACTTATTTATGTGTGGTGCTGATATTGAACCCAGTGCTTCACACATGCCAGGCAAGCGCTCTATCACTGAGCCACAACTCCAGCCCCTTAGTTTTGTATTTGATGGCTTCTAACAGCTAAAGAAAACAGCCTAAGGTAGCATGAGGCATCCAGACATGGTTTCAATAGCATTCTCGCAGGGGTCTTTGGCCTCGGAGCCCTTAGCACAATTTACATCCCCCCTGCAGATCTATCCCAAGTTGACATAAATATAGCAAGAGCCATGACTAACGATAAATACTGTCTGTCATTTTAAACATAGCAAATCATCCCCCAAGAACACTGTGCTAGGGTCCTCAGCATATAAGTAAGGACACATTCCCTTTCAATCACACCTTTTCCAAAACATGCCAGAGGAGGGTTTGCTCCACATAGGAATTCCTTTTTTACCTAGGAGACATCCTGCATTTACTATAAAGTCTTCTATTTTGTTCTCTATTTTATCCCATATGTTCCCAGATTACTACCAAGGTGTGTGCTTTCTCTAATTATAAAATGATCATGTACAACTAGTAACAAAAAAAAAAAAAAAAAAAAAAAAATCCATCCAACCTATTTTTTACTAAATATGGTTATGTTGTAAATATTTTAAGTTATAAAAAATGAATCTCTTGATTTAGTCAGGGCTTGGAGTGGGGAGTCATAGGATATTAGCCAATGTCATATTCAGGATGATGCATTTATTCAGAGTAAATCTTAATTTTCTTGGTCTTCTTCAGAGTAGCTACAGGAATGCCTAAAAGACCTTACTAAAATAAGGCCAATTGAAAGCACCTTTACTGAAACTTGATTCCTTGAGCCAGTGGAAGGTCTTTACTGTAGTTGATGGTACTAGAGGGAGAAAAATGAACAAAATTAATAACTGGTAGTATGTAAATATAATATAGAATACTTTTATGCCATTAAAAAATACAGATCTATTTAGCCAGACACAGAGGTGTATGCCTATAAACTCAGTTACTCAGGAGGCAGAATGATCACAGATTTGAGGCCAGCCTCAGCAACTTAGCAAAATCCTATCTCAAGAAAAAAAAATTTTTTTTTAATTTAAAAACAAAACAAAGACTAGGTACATAGCTCAGTGGTTGAGACCTCTGGGTTCAATTCCCAATAATACAAAAACAAACAAACAACTACACACACACACACACACACACACACACACACACATACACACTATAAATTAGTGAAGAAAAAAATTTAGGACACAAAACAAATGTTAGTATGGATCCAGTTTTATAAAAGAAAAAGAAACATAAAAGTCTGAAAGACATATTACACATATCACTCATAGCATTTCTTCTGAGCAGGATTCAAGCATATGGAGACTGTATCTTTCTGTATCTCTCAATAACTTGTATTGAGTTGGACATGATGGCATATGCCTGTAATCCTAGCAACCTGAGAGGCTGAGGTAAGAGAATCACAAGTTCAAGGCTAGCCACAGCAATTTAGTGAGGCTCTAAGTTACTTAGTGAGACCCTGTCTCAAAAAATAAACAAACAGGACTGGGAATGTAGCTCAGTGGTAAAATGCTCCTGGGTTCAATCCCCAGGACCACAAAAATAAAAATAATTTAAATAACTTGTATTGAATTATTTATTTTAAAAAAACCACAAATATTCCCATTTTGATAAAAATAAAATTTAAGAAAATAAAATAATTTATAAATTAGAAGCTTCCCTATTAACTACTCATCTGAGAGTCACTGGGTTTCTTTCCCAAGAGGAAAAGTATCCCCACTAAATGGATTCAGAAAAGCCATAGCTAAGTATTTGCCTGTCTAGCTCTTTGGGTACACAAGAAAAGCAAACAGGATAAGACTGACTTCAAAGAATGAAAAGCCAGCAAAGAGGGTGCATGTTTGGGGCTCAACAAGCCACATCTAAAGCTCCTCAGAAGTCCCAGATAGGAAAGCAGTTACTGAGGCTATAAGGAGTCAACAGGGAGGAACCCAGCTCAGCCTACTGAGCTGGTGAGAAGCAGAGAGGGACTAGGAAGGATGCCTCTGGGTTCTTCACCCAGGGCTCTTTCTACAACATAGCACCACATGCCATGTACATGAGACATCTTGGGGATGGAACTCAAGGCTCAACATGAAGTTCACTTAGATTTCATATATACCACACACACAGCATGAAGGCAATTTTATGCATTTTTAGTGCACCTGCATTTTGACTTTAACCCATTATAAGGTCAAGAGTGGAATTTTCCACATGTGGCATACTGTCATCACTCAAATTATTTCAGATTTTAGAGCATTTTGGATTAGATGATCAACTTGTTAGGGGAAGATAGCTGTAGAATGATAGAAAAATCAAACCAAGTGAAATTGCACAAAGACAAAACAGAAAGTAGAATTTAACAGCACATGCCCAACATGGCCCCAAAGTCCTCTCTTACCAAGTAGATCGTCTCATGTACTGTTTCCAGGCATCACTGCCAGACTCCCTGCCACCACCAGTGTGCTTTTCTCCTCCTACAGAAATACAAAATAAACACACATCTTTGGGCCAATTTGATATCACCAAGATAAAGATAAAAGGAGACTAGAGCTACCTGACCAGTTATTTAACATTTAGCCCAGAGTATTTCCTCTACAAACAGAGACTAAAATAAACAGAGAAAGGAAGTAAAAGAGAAAATAAAGCATAAGGAATTAAAAAGAAATGGAAATATGTCAAGAGGCTAAAGAACTCTTACAAATATATATACCATTAAACTAAGGTATTAGAGTAAAAAGGTCTAGATATAGAAAATCTAATTTTATTTTCTTGTATGTATTTATCTAAATATTCAAACTTACACATTAATTATACAGAATGATGGTTAATTTGCAGGAAAATGGACGGAAAAAGAAACCATCATTTTGAGAAAAATAAGCCAGACTCAGGGACAAGGGTCACATGTTTTCTCTTACGTGTAGAAACTAGAGGGGGAAAGCAGGCCAAAAAAAAAAAAAAGCCATAAAAGTAGAAGGGAGACCATGGGTACAGGAAGGGAATCAAGGGGAGGGAGGCAGGAATGATGGGAGAGGTACTGAGGAGTGAAGTTTTTCAAATTGCATTTATATATATATATATATATATATACACATACATACATACATACATACATGAATATGCCACATGAAAACCACCATTCCGTATAATTAATAGTGAGCCAATTAAAGAAATTAACTGAAAGCTTAAAGAATCAATTGAAGAAAGCAAGGCATGAGCTGGAAACAAAAGAGATCAAATGCCCCAGAAGAGTGGACGGACACCTCCGCATCCAGCAACCACAAAGCAGAGGGCAGAGATGAGGGGCCAAACTGAAAACTGAAGCTTCTGTCAAAGTCTGTACTCTGAACAGTATTTTGTGTTAGGTCTAAAAATATAAAAAGAATGCCACTGTACATAAACTCTTACAGATATTAATGCACGTTTGTTTTCCTTCTATACTGAAAAACAAGGCAAGCTGATTGTACTATACCTTGGATCATTTTTAATAAGTAAAACTTAATATACCATTGTTGGGAAGGATTTTTTTTAACCATTACAAAATTTAAGTATCAATAAGCCATGGCTTATTACCAGACAAGAGGATCAAGGCCCAGTAAAGAGAAACAACCTAGTATTTCATCTAGTTAAAGAAAATATAGTTAACATTTATTATGCCAACTTTGCAAAAAAAAAAAAAAAAAAACAGAATATTTTGTGTGAAATTTTCTAATGTTGAAGCAGGGATTCTTAATAGTTCTGGGGTCTTGGGTATTCTCCCTAGAATACAGATGCTGCATTTCAGGGCTTCATGTAACTTGGGTTAAGGGACACTGCTCTAACCCAATGCTGCATCTGGGCAGAAGATGCAGAACTCTGGGTAATAACTTCAAAAATGGTAATAAGCTCTTTCAAGCATGTGAGATCACATATTACATTAGAATGTAAATTATACTTCAGTTTCTGGACCAAACTTTTCTAAAAGCTACTACTGCTTTTCCCTTGCCACCCAACCTAGAAAAGGAGAAATGATTCTCTACATACCAAATGCACCTCCGATCTCTGCCCCACTGGTTGGAATATTGACATTTACAATGCCACAGTCTGAACCTTTAGGTCTGTGCATAAAAGGAGAGGTATGGTGAGAGCAATGTATAGGAAATTAAAAACAACACAAACAAAAGCCCGATTACTCAGACTCTCAATGCTAAATAATGGATTCATTCTTTTAAAGCCCATTCACCACAGAAATCAGACATATAAATGTTAAAAATAAACAAAGTTATACCCAAGCCAACGGAAGATTCTGCCCAAATCTTTAGTAAAAATGCTACTTGAAAGTCCCTGTTTCACTTCATTGTTCCATGCAAAGACCTCTTCTTCAGTCTAAAAGGAGAAGTGTTGGAAGCTGTTAGACACTACAATGTTCAGATCAAAGTTCACTGATGTTAAACTCATTTCATGAGATATACCAATGTCATTTTAGTGTGCAAATAGAAACCAGTCAACATGTTACTAATTCTATTTTTCTTATAATTTATTTATTTATTTTTTCTTTGGGGTGAGGGCGGTTACCAAGGATTGAACTCGGGGACATTCAACCACTGAGCCACATCCCTAGCCCTATTTTGTATTTTTATTTAGAGACAGGATCTCGCTGAGTTACTTAGCACCTCGCTTTTGCTGAGGCTGGCTTTGAACTCTCGATCCTCCTGCCTCAGTCTCCCAAACTTCTGGGACTACAAGCATGTGCTGCCATGCCCAGTGTCTCTTATAATTTAGATAATTTTTAATAGTAATACCTTGAAGGATATTTTCCTCCATGATACTTTA